CCCCCCCAGTATACAGGGAAAATTGAAGCTCAAATCTCGAAATCCAAACATTAACAAAGCATCAAAGACAAACAACAATATCAAAACTAACTACCTCAACTACTGATTGCAACAAATTCAAACACTTCCGCCAGAAAGAAGTAGAAAGTAAAAAATTGCAAGCAAAGAGAACGGAAAAGTTCATCGGAAAGAAGAAGAAAATCCTGATCGAAGACCATACCTGACGGAGTTTTGCGCTTGCCAAAGAACAAACTCATAGCGGACGATCGGATTGTACGAAGAAACGGTGAATTGAGACAGCGGAAACGAATGTATCAAATTCTCACTAGATCAGAGCCAAGCTGATCAATCGTTTTGGTTCGATAATGGCTTCAAGAATCCTCCGTCTCTGGTCTCCTCAGAAACTTCCTTTACGCGGTATTGCTAACGCTAACTGGAATATAAAATAGAGAATTCTTCTTCCAATATGAAAATATCTCAAATCCACACGTCAGCAAATGGGAGTAGAAATTGTGGGCCCCACTCCATCTTCAGTTTTTTTTAGTTTTTGGATCCTTTGCGTGGGCCTAAATGGGCCGTGAAAATCTATGGGCTTCAAAGCTCGTTGAGTTTAGGTCCAATAGGGTGAACTAATTTTTGTCTAATATATATATTTTTTAATTCACAGCGAAAAAGAAAAAACTTAATTTAATATTTTACATTGATTTTAGTATTTAAGTTTCTTTTTTTGTATTCAATTAATTTTAAAACTTTTAATAATTATAAATATGTTTAATATTTTATTAAACCCGTTTAAATATTTATTAGACATTTTTATCTAAACGTTCATTATTTTAATTATAATTTAAAATTATGATTAGTAATGATACCGTCCACTAATTTAGGGAATGATCATGGGTTTATAAGTGAGAAATACTAACTCCATTGATATGAGGTTTTCGGGGAATCCCAAAGCAAAGCCACGAGAGTTAATACTCAAAGTGGACAATATCATACCACTATGAATAATCATGTTTGTCTCACAAGAATTAATCACTTTAATTTAACTAGAGGTTTCTCGGAGTTTTTATTTTTATTTTTTATTTTTAGGTTTGTTTGAAGTGATCTATGGTTAGGGTTTACGAGCGAATTGCATAAAAAATAAAATAAAATATAAAAATGAAAATATAATGTTCTCCATGACTAATTTTGTAATTTCTCAACTTGGTCTTTGGTGTATTGCTTTATTGACCAGCTAACTCTTTGATATAAAGGTTGTTTGGCAGCATGGTCTCCAACTACTTTCTACACACCATTTTATTTTTTATTTTTAATGTTATTTTAAAAAGGTGAATTTTCATTAATTTATTTAATTTTATTATTGGTTGTCTGAGACAGATCAAAAGGTGAAAATTCTCACTTTTGTGAATAAAAAACAATCAATTATTTGATTTTTATTATTGGCACTTTACTCTATATATCTACTCCCAATAATAATAATAATAATAATAAAAATATCTCTAAATTTTTATTTTATTTTCTCTAAAAAAAATTCAAAAATTCATTTTATAATTATTTATATTAAAAAAAATGTTCTTAAATTTTTAATAATGTTTCAAAAATACTTCGTTAAAAAAATATGGATTAAATTTTAGAGGTAGTATTAACCTCTTTAACCTTTATTTAAATTTTTTTTACCGTCAATATATGGATAGAAAATTATCTATAGACCTCTCTAAAATTATCTTTTTGATTAATTTTAAAAATTTATAATTATAAAATTATTTTTGAAGTAAAAAAAATAAAAGAAAAAAAAAAGTTTAAAATGCTTAAAACCTTGAGTGAAATACCTATTAAATTATATTTTTTAAACCCTTTTTAAAATTAATGCGTATTTAAAAAAAAAATATTAACAATTTAATATTTTTTATATTTTAAAAAGAAAAAAAAAAAAAAAAGTTCAGAAGGAGCATCGACCACGCAATCAGACTCCATTTTTTTGGTAGAGTGTGGTCCAAAGCTCACGCAGCTAAGCGCCATAGCCATAGCTTTGCCTGCCGATGTCACTGTGCGAGGAACAGGCTCACACTGTGTAACCCCAACGCCAAATCAAGCCACCAACCCGGTTTAATTTAACTCCCAACTTCAAAACCCGAATTCCCTTTTCAGGCCCTACATCTTCTCTCCTCCCTTAAATCTTGTGAATTTCCCCTTCATCAACTGACTCTGAACTTCAATTTTCAAATCCAGGGAAAAACCTGCAAAACCAACGGCAAGGGGAGATCGAGTTATGGTTTCTTATGTGAGTGCGTTACTCTATGGTGTCGGAGGTTTGATGGTCGCCGGAATGGCGTTACTGGTTGCCTTCCAGGAGAGATTGGTTTATGTGCCGGTTCTTCCCGGACTTACC